GCTAGGTCAGCTGGTAAGAAAGTTCGTTCAACGTGTCTTTTGACCGTCGAATCTATCTTACACATCTTAAGCATTGTTGAATGGTAGACTTACGTCTACCATTTGTCCATGCTTAGAATATTGCTACCACATATGGTCCGTTGCTCCTGATATTTACCTTGTGCTTCTTGATAAAATCCTAAGAAAAATCAGCAATATTATCCGTCCTGGTCTGGCGGCTCGGCTTCAGTCACTTTCCCACCGCCGTAAAGTTACCTCTCTGTTTCTTTTTTATAAATAATCTCATGTTAATTGTTCGGATGGGCTCTTCGCTATGGTACCTAGAGTTTTTTTTTTTTTTTTTTAATTTAAGTGCAGTATTAAACTGGCGTCGAAATCTCATCAATTTACCTCCATTTTTTCGTTGAAAAAAAAATGTTGAAAAAAGGTCCCAAATTTAATAAAAACAAAGATTTATCGTCAAAATGTTTATGTTAGACCAAAGTATTTTTTAATTTTATTAATTTTTTTAATCCTTAAAAGCACGTTCGAATTTTTGGTTAATTATCCTTCTTTTTATTTCTTTTTTTTTGCGTTAGCGGTCGACGTAATATTTACGATAAGTGTTTTAGCGCCTTTTCTTCGGTGAAAAACACATTGATTTGGAAATTCTTGCAAAAATCATACTTGTCGGATTTTAATAAAACTTTCAGGAATGATTCACACATGAATTAAATTAATTTCAAAATTTTTGTTTAGAAAATCATGTTGAAAAGTATTTTTTCATATGTTACCCCCCCACACACACACTTGCTTAATTTTATGAAATTTCGAGAAATTAAATTTTCATCCGAAATCTTTTTTTATTAGTTAAAAGGACATGAAGAATGTAAATCATTTTTTTAAAACTACTACTCATTTCCCGAAAATCTGCTCCGAATCGTAAAATAACAAATGCAATAAAACTATTATTTAATTAAAAAAGTTTTTAATTGTTTTGATAAATAAAATTTATTAAGGACACTAATGTCTTAAGAAAAACTTTTTTTCGATGAATAATGAAATTTTTTTATAAAAATTGTTTTCATTTTTTTAATTTTAATTAAAATAATTTATAATATATAAATCTTTTAAAATTCTGCATTACTTTCATCCTGTTAGGTTACGTTGTTATTGAGTGAAAACTACATTTACTAATAAAAAAAATGGAAAAGCTTAATAACAAATCCTTTTGTATCAAGATTTAAAAAAATATTTTTTAATTTTTTTTATGCATATAAAATATTATGCACGATATTATCAAAAGATAAGAGCGATGGCTATAGTAAATTTAAAGTCAACATTCCTAAAATTAGATTACGGAGAATATTTTCGTAAAACATGGCGATGTCGGTTAAAAACATGCTACTGTTTTGTTTTAAAATATATTTCTGTGTTTATTTTAAACTTAAAGTAAATAATAGTTTTTCAAATCAGATTAATTATACTTTAAATCAGCTAATATTCCTCAAATAAAGTTTCAGAAAAGTATATTTTATTTTTGGAACATTTTTTTAATAGAAAGGATTACATTACGATGATAGACGACTAAAAAAGGGCGCTAATCAACTATTTAGAAAAAAAGAAATGTCGATTTCAATCAATATCATTTCTGTTTAAAATACACCATACTAAAAATAGTAAATGTAATCCTTTAGCTTTCAATTAAAGCTAAAATGAATGCTTCAAGAACGCTTTTTCGTTTATAAAATATCATTTTAATTCTTAGGTATTGAAAATTAGTGGAGGTACCTAATTTACAGTTGAGCTCGCTAAATTTAACTGTAAATTCTATGCTAACAGTTTCTTTTCTCGCACTTCTTGCTTGTGAAACTCCCTTCCGGCTCCATGCTTTCCAGCCAACTTTAATCTGCAAAAATTTAATTTCAATGTCAACGCTATCATCTGTCTTCCTGATTACTCTTTTCTCTTCCCGCTCATTATTAATGTTTCTGCACCTAATTCTTCCACACCATGTAACCCCTTGTGTCTTAGTGGCTTTATTGCCTTGCAAGGGGTGATACCGATTAAAAACAAATTCATTTTTTTTTCTTATTCATTCATTTCATCGAGTGTTATTATTGGTCTTACCTCCAAGAGCCTTGATTACTTTAAGGGACGCTATCTGTAATTCAAGTTGATCACTGCTCCTAGTTGGTGAAGAAGAAGCGGAAGAAGAGGAGTATGAGGAAATGGAGGAAGAGGATGAAGAAGGGGACGGGGTTGTCGGTGTCGCCGCCACCTTACATGGCATACAGTCCGCAAAGACCAGAAATAATTTGCAATAAGGCAGATGTCGCAGGGTATCTGGTCCTTCGACGGCTATATACGGCCGTACAGCCAGACGAACGTTGTCCATCTGCTTAACAAGGCTTTCTACCAAGGTGATGTAGATGTTTTCGTTCTCCTTCTTAAAGATTACCACGCATACTTCATTGCGTAGAGAGATTCCGTGTTTTGGTGAAAAGTTCAGAACACCATTCTGAAAGTAAAGAAAAATAAATTGTTTGGGCCAAGAAATTGTTGGAATTTTAAATATATCTTCTTTTTTTAATGCTTCTAAAGTTTTATTTGAAACTTACCAAATTCGATTTGAATTTCACTCTTTAGTTTTATTTTTCCAATGGTTGGTCTATAAAATGGGCCTCAGTCGATTTGTAACAAAGCCACTATTTTATCTCGAGATTTTAAATGAATTCTTTTGATTGAACATAAATGGATATGGAAAGATGATGATGTTTAGGGTTTATTTAAGAATGACTCATATAACTAAGTAATGTAACTGTAGACATTTTATGCCAATGAATCAATATGTATCCTGTACAAGCGGAAGATATTTGTGAATTAACCAAATTGATGGTAAAAGACTGAATATTAATATGATTTGTTTTCTTTGTCAAGGAACAAAGTATCTATTTTCATTAGCCAATCACTACAAATGAATTTACTTTGATTATAATTAATTATCAAAGACTATTTTACAAGAGTGCATAATTTATTAAGATCGCAAATTTATGCACACGACATTGTCTACTAATGATTTCATTATACAAATGAAAGAATTCCGTCTTGAAACATTTATGTTCGTTATTAAACTGATACAAACCAAACATAATTCGTCTGTATACAAAATTTATCGAAAATTAAACACCATTTGCTAAAAGAAAATTACACTGTGGTAGATTATACTATGTAAGTCAATATTTTCAGTATAAATTTACTAACAACCAACCGATTTTGGTAAAATGTTCATGATATACTTATATTTATGTAATAAATAAACCTGATGAATAAAGTTTTTAATGTGTTTTTATTATAAATATTTAATACTTATTTAATCATGTGAGATTTTGTTATCCAACACGAGCATTTCTCATCATTTTATAAATAAAAATAGTATTGTTATTTATTTTTAATTTCAGGCATATAAAGATTATTGTGGGTCATAGGAAAGATATAAGCTTAAAAGAGAAGCAAAATATCGCACATGTGGAACACAACTTTAGGAATTGCGAAAAAGTGGAAGAGAAACTATAGAAAAATGAAGAAGATATCTCAAATATTGACAACGTGAGAACAAGAAAAATGAAGATTTGAAATAAAATAAAATGGTGATAACTAAGAAAAGCAAATTTGCCAGCAGGAACATATTTGAATTATCTAATATTGTGACTGTAAACAGATAGGAGAAAGATGCAGAAAATTAGGAACATTGGCTAAATAGATAAAAGCAAGCAAACTACCACATTCTAGTGAAAGGCGGGAATGAGTAGATGAAAACTGATTTGGCAATGGCAATGAACGTACATTGGATGGAAATGATGCCTTTAAAAAAATACCCTTCATGGAAATAGTCAATCAATACAACTTAGCAGACATCAGTTGAGAGGAGAAGCGCTTTGGGCTATTATTATAGGTAGTAAAATCATAGGTCCTCTTAAAGTTGATGAAAGTCTCGAGATAAATACGGATTATTGGAAAAATGTTTATTGAACGGTACGATTCAAGAAGCTTTAGGTTAAATATTATATTCTTGCAAGAAAATTATCGCTCGCATTCTAAAAAGCTGACTATTTCTCACTTTGCTAAAAAAAAAAAACAACTAAAGACGCCAAATTAAGGAATGGAAAAGATTCTCCAAATATTAATAGAATCATCATTAAAAGAGATGTATATGAAAATTAAAAACAATATTCACACATAAAAATTGACTCGCCGTGAAAAAGCAACTATTATTAAATTATTTAAGTAGAAATTAAAAATAGAATATAGCCCTCAATATAGACAATCAATTACCAAATTCCTATAGATATTAACCAAATTTCGATTTTGATATACGGGATCGTCAAATTTACAAAGTTCTTTTCACTAAATATATGTAGTTTTCGTAATCTTCAATGTATGGTTTGTTACAAGTACTTCAAGTCATTGTGTAAATTTATTGACATCAGAATGTTAAAACTAGTATTAGTAGTTTAGTTCATATAAATTCGATCGACTCAGGGTTCTTTTATTAGAACTTGCTAAAAGAAATTAAATATTCATTCAAACTGAGAATTAACAGATACTGATTTGATTTTTTTATCAGAGAAAATATAATTTTGATTTTCCTATAAAAGTTTCTCATACAAAAGAGGACCTCTTTTTTTCTAATACTTGGTTGTTTAATTTTAGAAAATTTATTGAAATATGTTATAGATATAACTTTGTTATCACCCTTAACCCATAACAGCAGAAGTAGAAAGTGAAAAACAGAATGAATCTTGATTAACACATTAAATAGGAAGAGAAGAGGGCTATATTCATTTTTTTTTTTAATTTCTATTTAAATATTTTAATAATTGTTGTTTTTCGCGGCGGGTCAATTTAGCTATCGACAAAAGTACTTTATATAATAAATTAGTAAACTCTGCTGGACAATTTACATATATTTGTCGGGTTAGTTTCAATAATTTATTTTTACTTAACTTACGACGCCTATGATAAATCTTTCTTTATACTTTGTCTATCAGTTTGTTTATAAATTATATTACCAACAAATACAAAAATCTGTCATTTTATTTCCAATAGTTCTCGCCATGTACCACACTTATTATTTTTAGTTTTATCTAGTAATTCTGCACCAAATAAATGCTAAATTGTTAATAAAAATTGTTTAATGAATAACAGAGAATTGTTATCCATTGATAGTGATAAAATAATGAGTTTGGGGGTAAATTTTATGATTCCACATAAATCTTACAATTATAAACATTTAACGCAATTGCACACGAAAATCATAGTAAAAAAAATTAAATTCAATATAGGATAGAAACAAAAACAGCATTGAACTCGTTTTTAAATCCTGGTAATCGACTTAAGCGTTCCTGACCTGTTCATTTGTACAATGATTTGTCTAAGAAATAAATCAGAGAAAACAGTAACTTTTAAAAACCAGACACAATGACTCAATTAGACAATGCAATATAAATGGAAGAAGATATTATCAAACAGCAGTGAATTCCAGTTTTTGTGGTTTAGATTTTAAAGATGCCTTTATTGTTTAAATTATAATAAAACAAATGAGTTAAACATTAAACATAGAATTTTAAAATTTTTGGCATACTTTTCTATTTTTACACCGCTTTTTCAATATTCCTTTCCACGTCATACATCCTCCTAATCTCTCTCTCTCTCTCTCTCTCTCTCTCTCTCTCTCTTGATTCATTAACTACCTTTTCCTATATCACCATGTCTTTTTTTCCACGCCTTTTCATTAGATGTGTATGTATCAACAAATATAAACATGTACTTGATGTCTTTGATATTTAAATTAGTTTCTAGGTACAATTGGCTACACTTGAAATACATAATTCCTATTAAACCAGTAGTTCTTGAACTTTTCTTTAGTCTATTACGGTGTACTTATCCTATGTGGCTTATTAACCAGAGTTCAAAAGTAGATTTGTCTATCTATCGATCCTATCCAAGTCATAACAAAATAAAGTCACTGAACAAAATCCCTTATACGTATTGTAGATATTCTAAAAGAACTAAAAGTTGGAAAATTATACGGTTGGTTGTGTTTTTTTGGCAAGTAAATTCTCAATGTATGAATTTGTTTTTAACATTGCAAATCTGAAGCTACGTGAAGATATGCTCTGTATTTGTGTTTTTCTGTTGTACATTGTCGAAAATCCTGTATGTCTTGGGAAATGAGAGCAGAACGTTCAGGGTGGCGATCATCTTTTGTATTGAACACAGGCAAATAATTTTTCGATCATAATTTTCTCTGCTCTTTCTTCTTATAATAATACGCAAATTTGTGCAACAACATTTGTTTGTATACAAGTTTAGTTTTTTTTGTTTAGTTTTTTCTGTTTGTTTGTTTTCTTTTGTTTTTTGTCAAATGTCGGTTATGTGAAGAATATTTCAAGTTGTACCTAAAATAACATCATTGTCCAACTCCAGACCCTGTACATACTCAGATGACAACTGATACATTATATATTTATCTTTATTTGATGTATTAATTTTTCCCAATGCATTTATTTCAGTATTCCTACCTTTTTTCTTACATTTTATCTTTTAATTGCTTTCACATTTTTACCGCCTTTTCTCTCTCCCAATTCTCTCTATATATCACACACGCACACACTCTCTCTCTCTCTCTCTCTCTCTCTCTCTCTCTCTCTCTCTCTCTCTTTAACCGATATGCGTACTACGTAAAAATATAGACATGTACGAAGAGGTGTTGAAAAGTTATCCGCCTGACCCACTTTCCAAAACTTGACCGAATTACCAACTCACCCAAATCTCGTAGACTCTACTTCCACATCTAGATTTTGCTGCAGATTTTTACGGGATAGAATTGCTAACCCAACCAGTTTTGAATTCAGAGCTGTCCTTCTCTTAGAATGGTTGACAACCAATGCTAAAGAGCCCACCTGTCGTACTATTTAACCCGTAGCTAGGGGAGAAGATTTTGATGCATACATTTTCCAAGAGCGAAAGTGAATACAACGAAACTCGATCAGAATTCGAACTCATTTTGCAGACTTCTCACTCCGAGCCGTTAACCATTACACCACCTGAATGACTAAACAGAACTGTTTTATTCTTTTCTTGGTCGGGCCGATAACTTTTCAGCAAGGAAGCAAACAAGTAAGCGCGCGCACGCGTGCGCGCGTGTGTGTGTGTGTGTGTGTGTGTGTGTGTGGCAAATCAGAATTTAGATTCTTTTTTATAACATCCTGAAATGTCTTCGGCGCAGTCATCACGGCTGAAAAAACCCTGACCCGTAATGCAAATTTACGATGAATTCTAACAAGGAGAACCATGAAATAAATATTGACTGATATTTATTGATCAGCAGGCTTGCCAAAACACTGCAGAAATGTATTTAGAAAACCTATGGTAACTGCTGCTTTCTGCCTTGAAATGCTACAAGTAATAGCATTAAAAGTGTCTGCAGGAAAGAAACTAATAATAAGGAAGTATTCA